CCAGGTTGGTTGAGGCTTTAATCAACCTGATCTAGTGGAAGGTGTCCCTGCCCATGGCAGGGGAGTTGGAATGAGATGATCTTTAAGGTCCCTTCCACCCCAAACCATCCCATGATTCTGTATAAAAAAACGTCAGAAGAAGCAGACAGTTCAAGTAGTGTCTTCTACATGTCAGTATGATATTGAAGGAAGTGCTAGGGAAAGTTCCCAACATATGCAGATAGTTTGATTGCATTTTCCAAATTGTTCATGGAAATTCTGCAGCTATTAATTTTCCATTCAATATTAGTACTATATCAAATCTCTCAAAATATAGTAATTATACTGAAAAGAAACTGCATTATCTAGGTAAAAGGGAGGAAAAAAAGAATGCTTAAACACATACAAGGTATGTCAAATATCTTAGGAGGGTAATTCGAGCCATATGACAGAGAAAAATCAGAGCAAAGTTAGTTTCAGCTTCCTACAAACATATTTCAACAGGAGTACAATTTGTGCTAATTATTGAAATTAAAATGAAAGCTAAATTCCTTAATTATTTTTTTTTCTAGATCCTGACATATAATATTGTGTCTATTTTGAAACACTTTACTTTTGTTTCACTAAATGGAAAGCAACTGTTGAAAATTTCTGGATTCTTCCAGAAACATTTTTTTTCCTAGCTCCTTGATGTCTTTTGGTAGCGGTTTAAAGATTTGGAAATTGAGAAAATAAGTCCCAAGAGTGTTCTCTAGATGTAAGAATATCTACATCTGTATTTTGTAATTAGAATTTTGAAAGGTTTCTCCACATCTACCCCAAAGATCTTTATTAAATAACAACAAAATGTAGTTGGAACTGCTCATGGAGTTAAAGCTCAGAGGTGAGAAGACAGTTCTAAGATGCACGGATTGCATGCAAAAATCATTTAAGAATAGTAACTCTTACATCTTTCGACCCCCACTCCAAAAATTCTTAAAATAACCAACTTCCTCAAAAAAACCCCGAACGCTTCGTCCCAAAAATTAGCAGGGGGCAGGATATAACAGGCCTATAGTTGGTATCCTTGACTTACAAACCACAAAAGGAATAAAAATGAAGTGTCTCCTTCTGTCTAACATTGAAGTCACTGTACAGTTCTCCACAGCTTTTTTAATTTAGAAGAGAGGAAAAAAAGGGTTCTGAATAACACAAGATCCCTTTTATGTGGAAATACTTCAATATTTATGTTCCACTTTTTATAAATTAAATCAGATTTGTTCTAATTTAGCAAAAGTTCTATGCATGTGTAGATTCAAGCGGTATTTCCTGGAACTTTTCAGCAAAGCTTTCCCACAATTTTGATTTTCAGTTTACGTTAAGCATATACTGATAGGCTTTGCCAAACAGAAACATGGCTTTATGTATGCTTAGAAGTAAGCAAACTTATCAATGCTTTGTTGAATTTGGTCCTTGGTGAGAAAGCACATATCAGTGAACTAGAGGAAAAAAAACTCTTCACTAAAGCTGGTACTTGCAGACAATTGCTTAATCCAATTCGAACCAACAGGCACAGTGTGATATCCATACATGGCTATATTCAATAATTGCTTGTGGCAAATACTGTTCATGATAAAAGAGACTTAGCACAACCCAGATAACAGTTTTCCTGAAGGATGTTTGTTCAGATGTGAAGGTTGGAAATTCTGTATCGTTCAGTGGATGTCAAAAGGAGAGCTCCTCTCAGTCTGCCTCAGGCATGATTGAACTTAATGCTTAAAGAGAGAGGGGAAAAGAAAGAAAAAAAAATCACAAATGAAACAGATCGTGAGCTGATAACGTTCCCCGAGGGTGGTCATCATTGACAGATTTGGTGAGAACATTTAGCTGCTTAATTTTTTTTTAAATCTTGTTCTTATTGTTCAGAATCTATACTAAGCCTTTAAGACTGTAAGTCTGGCCATGAAGGACAGCACAAGCAGAGTGCTTTTGAATACTTGCACTAGGGAGAGGAAAAATGCATCATGTTACTTGTATTTTACTTTCAAACATTAAACGTGTCGTTTAAAAGACTTACAGATAGGCAGGCATTGGCAGAATTACTTATACTACATTGGCAGAATTATTTATACGTTCCATTCAAAGCCATCAATAATACAGACAAATCTTAACTCTGTATCACAAGGTAACCTCAAGTTTCTTCAAAAAGCCCATAAACTGGAATGGCAAATAGCTACAGCCAGAGTTCTCAAAGAAATTCAAATAAAGCCCAGGAGGCCAATTTACATATGGAAATGGAAAAGCAATATAGATTTATAAATAACAACAATGACAATGAAGAACATTTAATTGAAAGTTATGCACCCTATGGGTATGTCTATAGTCAAAGCCCAGTAATATAAAAGTACCCAATTCCAGATGCAGTTCAGTTGTGGTAGCCCAGACCTTTTACATGGTTTGCTTTATGCTACGCTACATATTCTATTGCTTCTACCCAAATAGCTTGTTCAGCAGCGGAGACATACGCTGAGATGATAAAAAATGTGCAACGTTGCAGAGTGAGAAAGGGAGTGTGAAAACGTTATCAAGAGCTTTTCTTTCAGAAGTATTCTCTACTAAGTAAGGTAAGAGCACTTTCAGAGGAGTGAGGTCAGCTGCATTGCCAGACGGATCAAGTATCTATGATGGTGTTTGAGACAGGAGCTGTGAATTATCCTCTTCTGCATGTCCAGACTGAGACAGGTTTTCGGTGACCAGAATTTGTGGTATTGAAGTGATTCTGAAAATTCTGACTAAAACATAACCAAAACTTTTGAGACCTAACACTTTGAGAAGATTTTTGTATAAATTTGAGACCTTCATTAGTAAGCATCCTTATACTTAATGACCTCCCATTTATTGTCCTAACTTTACAGGGCTTTTTCCGAGCAGAAGCCTGAAGAATACTGCCATATGAAAACACCAGAAATGGATGAACCTGAATCCATTTCAGTTTTGTTTTGCTAAATCCTTTTAGTAGTTAGCAGAAGTACAGCACCTGCATTTAGAGCAGAACGAGGACACCAAATTCTATTTTTAATATTAAAGAAATTACATTACAGGTTCGTTGAATGCAGCCTCACACTTCAAGTGGCATGCTGCAACGTAACGGAAGTTATAACAGAGAAAGAATATTATCATAATTAAACTTATTGATTAAACAACTGGCATGCCTACTAAGTAAGCAAAAATTCCCTGAAAGAAGAATATTTCAGTATCCTGACAAATCGTATTGCTTCTGTGTAAGGTTTTGCTGTATTTTTAGTTATCCAATCTGGTCTGTCACATACTGAATTTTTAATGCCGACGCCAATGACAGCACGTGTTTTTAAATGTAGCTACATCTGCCACTGAATTACTGAGTCATCTGACCGCTCTACTGAAAAATAAAAACGCCGTAATGACATGAAAGCATTGAAAAAGCTACTTGCCAGAAAGCCACCTCCTTGTGCTACACAGTAAGTTTTCTGATCCGAAGAGAGGCTGTATTTAACCACAGCAGACAGCAAGAGGAAAGAATTCTGCAGCAGATCTTAGTGGCAACCTAACAAAACTTGCTGGATTCAAAGAAGGCTACATATGCATTTCAACACCAAGAGACCTGCTAAAGACATGCTCATCAATAGATCTTTCCTTCCTGAAACAGAAAGTTGCACTGTTTGTAAAGAGAAGACTATATAAGCACACACACCGAGCTGTATTAGAAATATTTCTTAAAAAAATATATGTTTTATTAATGAAATGGAGGTGTTAGTCCTATCATTCTTGTATATAAGACTTACCAGTGGTCTCCTTTTTAATGAAAAAAAGAAACAATGCCTTTTGATTTAAAACAGCAAAGGGAACACTCTGGAAGTTCAGCACATTTTGAAAATGCAAGCATGGAATCAGTGACGTCTACGCACTTTTAAGATCTGCAACACTTAATGATGACTGTTTTATTAAGCTATGTACAATTAAAGCAGATAGAAACAAGTCATTGCTTGAATGCTAATGATAAGGAAAAATAGCTTCCAAAAAGTACTTTTCTTTAAATCGCAATAGGAAAAGGAAAGGGAAACAATTACAGAAAAGAAATCCCAGAACAGAGCAGCCAACATAATATTTGCATATCATGTGAGAAAAGAAAGAGGGAATTGTTACTAGCAGAAGCAACAAAATAAAAACTTTTATTAAAATATAAGCCAGAATAGAGCTGCCAAACTAGTAAGCACGTATAATAAATGAAAATAGAGATGGCTGTCACTAGTGACAGCGAGAAAGCAGAACTTTATTAGCAGAACAAAAGATACATCTACACCACAAAGTGTGGCAGCACCTTAGAGAAACCTGAGAAATCTCTGAGCAAGATGGTCTATCAACACAGCACAGACAAATGCCACATAAGGATCCTAAGTGGGCTCCAAAGCAATATAACCACGTTAAAACAGTCCTGCGCCTGGACTTCTTCAGTCTCTCAGATACTCCTTGTTCTGGAATTAGTCCATTCTGAATAAACAGGGAATTACTGTCTCAGACCAAATTGCAAAACCATAGATATCTGGGTGTTGGGTTGTTGTGTTGTTTTTTTTTTTTTAAAAAAAAAGGACCAAAACCTCCCAAACTCACAAAAACACTCAAAACCACTAGCCTCCATTTAGCAAGACTCATCTTAGAAGGTTAAACCTCACCATGAAACAGGTAGCAAGAAGTAATCACTATAACAGAAGGGAAGACAGGATCAAGAAATTAGAATAGATGTTTCTACATCTTGTACACATACATGATTTGATCACTTCAGATCACATAAGACTAAAAAATAGATAAATAGATCAAATAAGATCAAACAAAACTACTGATCATCTCTAGCCTTTTCTTAGTTTCATAGGATTACAAAACCAGAAAGTGTACTGAAGCAATGAGGCCATTTCAAAGTCCTGTTCTTACGGCACGCTTGCCTGAACCTTACTCCACATTTGAAGGTGTCAACTACTTTTTGTACAATGTGAAATTGCTATACTTACTACTCCCCACCACAGGGCATCTGCATAGCTGCCGAACTCTGTTTCTCCAGAATCATTTACAGCATCTTTTTCAGCCAGGTACACAAAATAAGAGGAAAAAATCAGGCCCAGAAATCCAATGTAGAGTGTAGTTATCAGCTCCTGCAAAGACAGCATTATTATATTGTTGAGGCTCTTAAAGTATTTATCGCTGATGTTTTTTTTAAACATAATTGGAACAGAAGAACATAATTTCAGCAATTGAACATTGACACTGGCTGTTGACGGTGCAAATCAACAAAAATCCATTGAGCTCAATGATGAAAGAATTTACACCACAGTGGATGACTCAGTCCAACATGCACATTTCAGAGTCAAAACAACCTCTTCGATTGCAAGCATGACTCATTAACCATTTGGTCACAAAAAAAGAAGTTGGGTAATTTTTACAAACAGTGCCACATTCAAAACAACTTACGAATTTAGGTACATATTTTTAGAAATATTCAGACTACTTTTAAGAAGTCTCATTTTCTGTGGTTAAGTCCAACTACAAGTCAAAAGTTTGCCAAAGTGAAGAAGAATATTTTTAATCTTTTAGGAACCTTTTGTCCATTGAAGAAGGCAGAACAACCACACTTGGTTAAAATAAACGACCACCTGCCTCCACACTAAATATATTTGACATCATCAGCATATCTGCATATACGCTGTTCTAAATAGAAGGACTTTTGCATCAACGATTATGCCATTCCTCAGAATACTCAAACTTACTTGTCTGTGGATGAACACTACTGATCCCAGCAGCCTCCACGTACCACCCTGACGGTCGACATGCAGCATTCGTAAAATCTGTAGAAAACGGATGCCCCTGGAACACAATTTTTAAATTAATGAAGAGACTAAAGATACAAAAGAAGAAATAGAAGCGGAGAGGGAACCTGTGAATACAAGGCTAATAAGGATAATTCAAGGATTCAGGAATTTTGGACATAAACTGTGAATGCTCTAGACATCATTCATCAACTCATATTTGACCAGCTTGCCAGGATGGGAAAAAACACAGACACAGCTAACTATAGATCTGAATTCCTCACCTTTGATGAATTTGAATTAGACAGTACGATAATATTTAAAATATCTTTTTATGAGAGCCACTGCAATCCTAGAGCATCGCTGCAGCTAGTGCACAGAGCACAGTACACTGCCCTGTACACTCTCATTCAGGAAAACTGAGTGATGTCACCTTCTTCCTGAGTACAAAGTAGATCCAGTCCATCGGGAATTCACAACCACTAACCCCAGGCATTTTATAAAGAAGCTGCTTGAAGACGTCAGAGACATGAAGCATGAAAGAGTTGCTACAAAATTGAGCCAAGAAACTAAACCAGGATTTGAGTAGAACCCACCTGGTTGTGGAAAGGGGGCAGGGGTAAGTGCACCTCTATCCCCACCAAAAATAAACGCATTACGACCAGACACGCAAAATTTCATTTCCCCTATACTTTATGGGATCACTGTTTCACACCTACACATGATTGGTGATCTGCTCTGTTACATGACTTCGAGCAGTGACTCATTTTCTCTTGCAAGAATTGAAATAAGAGGTTAAAGAAAAAAAATCCACCTTACTCAGACAGCACTATTTTCTTTTATTACACAGAATTACCTGATAGCTGAGGTTGCAAAGACTTGACCTTTAGAGCCGACACAAAGAACTATCATGGAAGCAACGACTACAATTAAATCTGGAAAATAAAAGTCAATTGAAAAAATAAGTTAGCAGCATCTTGCAGTACTTCTGCAAGACTATTACTAGGACCAATGCCAATATTACTTTAACAATTTGAACAGTCATCCCAAATTAAGATTTTTGCTTCTATATTATCAAGAGATCTCTATTGTAACATATAATGAGAACATAATTGTGTGATACGATAGAAAGGTTTTAGTGGGATAGATCCCAGATGCTCACATTCTAGATGAATGATGAGAGTGATATGAGTTACTTTAAAGCAGCTTCAGCAGCCTGGAATCCTTATTAGCTATAACCCATGAGGAATTTCAGCGGTTTCTACCTGTTATTTCTTCTCTACATATTATCTTTGTTGTTTTAGAGAGTATTTTATTCATTGACAGAGGTTTTGAGGTTTTATTTCATATATAAGACAATTGCCTTACTATTATTTCATCTGTCCAGGTCTAAAAGTGAGAAAAAAAATTGGAATTAGTCTATAAGTCTAATTTAGTTTAAGTCAGTCATTATCACAGGACTGTACTCTAAATCTCTGTGCCTCGGGCCCAGTTAATTTTGGAAAGGAACTCTGTTTTGCAGAATGAAATAGTTCTTGATACATATCTGGGAAAGCAGAACTTTGTTTTACTTTCCAAGCTGAAATAAATTGGATGATGTTTCAGAACTCCTAGTGTTCTAGGTCTCAAGAGAAATGGATTGTGGACAGAGTGCAAAGATGCAAAGTCACTTTATAGTGCAGTTGCACCTGAGATACAGTTGTTATTTACATATATGCACAGAGAAGTTAAGCTTAACTATTTTATGATTGTAAAAATACCCAGACACAAAATTTTGTAATTTATATTCAGCAAAACTGTAGATAGTTCACAAAAAAACTATATCCTCTACTCAACAACAAATAATATTTCTGAGTAGTGGAAAAAACTATGTCACAGAGCAGGAATTACTATGTTTCTAGAACAATACTCCTTTTCTAAAATCTGGTTTGTTTAATCTATTTATGCTTTAAGTGCTTCAGTGCAAGGGTCTTTACATAGTTCACTCAATACTTGTTAACAAAATACAGATTGATTTTGAATTATCATATTTCTTTCAGTGAAATTGTTAAATGCATGACAAGCATTCTAAAAAAAAAAATAATGGTTTGTGACATATATGGAATATATGGATGCAATTTCTAAGGAAATTTCTAACACTGAAGTCATGTTAGGAAGCCAACTGCAGTGAATATCAAGGGAAGTCAGGTGCCCAGTTCCAAATGCATTGCTGAAAACCATATTTTAATCCAATAGATAAAAAGTAACTACAGTGCATCTATCATGCTCCACCATGCAGTACATAGCTCAATTAGAGTGCAAAATAAACTCACAATAAATTATTCAAACAGCTGCTGAAAAAAAAAAAAAAAAAAGGCCGTTCAGGATCTTTAAAAAAATACAATTGTAGCTGTTGTACAGTGTCTGGGATCCTGAGGTCACAGGAGACAGGACTATGGCCAAGACTTATTTCTGGCAAAGTTTCAGATCACTTGTGAAAAGAAAACACTCTGCTCTTCTGGAAAAACAAGCCAAGCCACATTTCTTCTCAAATGACAGTGTTACGGATTCTTGAAAGGAAAATCAGATCTACGTTAACAACATGAGCTCTTGCTCTAACTTGGCTATGACTGCTGCAGAATTTCCACTCCTCAAAACTTTCAAGGACAACTTTTATTCGTTGTTTACGTCAACTTTGCAAGCTGTGCATACTCACCAATGATTGAAATAGGCTTCCTAGCAAAGCGAAGCCTTCCCCATATTCCAACATATTTACTGCGGCATCCTGCTGACCATAACCGAACCACATATTCTGTTCCAAAGAATACCACTAATACAATTTCCTAAAAGAAACAGACAAGGAACTAGGTTAATTCTCTACTGTATATCTTTCATCCTTTTTCAGATTGTATTAGGAAACACTAAGATAAAATACAAAATTTGGAAGATGAAAAAAAGGGAACTATACCAACATTATGTAAAGTAACAGAAAAATCTGTAAGAGTAAAGAAAGAAGAGATTAAGAGCAAGTTCAAATACTTTAATTGCATACAGTTTGGCTTGTCTACACATACTAAAACTGAAAACCAGTCTGTGCAATTCACTTGGTCTAATTCAAACAAAAGGCTTCCTGACTGAGCCAAAGAAAACAAGCACAGTCTGTATTGAGAAGATGACTATTCTCCTAGTGTATTTCATTTCGGGAAGAGGTGTGCTTCACATTCCATTTACCGTATCAGCTTAACCTCCTGCTTATTTTTACTTTTTCACTGGTCCTTTAATCTTCCATGGATTGAAGAAAGGTTTCTAGTACCCATTACCAGTATGTCCATCTCCAGGTGCACTGAAAACATAGTGAGACCTCGAGCACACCTTTCCCATCCTCTTGTCAACAATTAGAGACTTCAGCAGTAGAAGAGGTCTAGTCTTGAAGCACTGCTGGTATCAAGCTATGTGTTAACCACAGACCTACACTAAGGTATGGCTTTAGAAATGCCTACAGCGACAGATGTCAAAGACATCTGACATTCTTGTTGATTAGACAGAAGTACAATTATGTCATATTTGGAACTTAGGCAATGTGCAGACAAACCTTGCTTTTCTGCACACTGGTTGAGCACAGCATACTCGGCATAGTTTCCTCGAGTATCAGGGAGCTGCAACACTCCTTCTTGGCCAACCCAATAACTGACCATATTCCCTATCAGAGTCAACAGCAAAACATACTAATTGGAACGGTAACAGTGATTTGTAATCGAAAACACATAGCATGTGGCATACGGAAAGACTAAAGCAGAGAAACCAATCATAAGGTATCACAGTTACATAGGATAATGCAGAGTAAGAGAATGAGCTGCTTATTTCATAGCATGATTTAACATCAAGAGCAACTGCAGAGAAGATAATATGCTGCTGAACATTTTAGCCAGCTTCCTCACCCTTCTGCAGGGCTCACTGCTGTTTTTTGTAACAGACTGGCAAATGGAATTCAAGATGTTACCTATGATTATTTTCTGAATTACCTGAAATAATGAGGATACAACCCTAGTCCAGTCAAGATGAACAGGAGTCATATTATCAGCTGCAAAAATGCATGGGACATCGCCTTGAATACTGAGTAAAATAATAGGTATATGTACAGCAAAAAGAGGGGTAAAAAAATGTTATGCATCAGTTGACTTTGTTACAATCTTCTTGTGGCTCTAAAATACTAATTTCCTGATGGCATAACAAACTGCTTATCTCAGGGCACTAAAGTGTTCGACTCCATAACACTTCTAGAAAAGCTAGGAGAATATTATCCAGGACTCT